CAGAGGGCGGAAACTAAGGCAAACGCTTTTCTGCTCAGGGTCAAGGCATGTGCTTACACGAAATAGTTTTAACCCAGAGTCACACTCCTTGTTGGGACAAGGGAGTATACGCCCCAGAGCTTACTCAAATCAGCGTCACTTCGGACAAATTTTAGCGTCAAAGGTAGTACTGATTCTGAGACTCGGCTACATCGTTAGCCAGTAGTAGTAGAAACAGTAGTAGCCGTATCAGTCTCGGCCTCCTTGGGCCTGTCTTCACCCCTGCTATGGGTGAGTGAGGATAGGTTGTGCAGTAGTACCAGCGCAAAAGGCTACTGCCACTTAAGACTAGGTTAGGCGGTCACTGAAACGATAAGATAGCTGTTTCGGCTGTTGTTTCTTCTGAGAGGTCACCGTCATTAATCCACAGAGGAACAGCTACAAACTGTACTGTGAATGAGAGCTGCAATGTCCGAAGCTAACAAGTCAATCTAATGGAATTATAAGAACAACCTATTGAGAGACGGGATTTCTAAGCATTTATGGATGTTGGTTCATGGAGAGATTTGCGCGCATTGTCGCTTGACGCCAGGTGATCGTCTTCCCTGACACCAGATGTCTACCAAGAACCCAGTCACGGGATCCGTGTGCTCATGTTGGTATTGATACGGTTGTGAGAATCTCGAATCTGTCGTGTAGTCCGGCGTAATCTGCTGAGCTGCGACCTCGTATAGAGACCGCATGCTCGCAGGAAAGCCCAAGTGTCTTATAGAATCACCAGGTGAAGATAAGAAATTTGGCAAGCTCATATGCCCATCTGTTATGCTTATTGCTTATTACTCAGCTACTGACATAATTATAGGAATTACTAAGCTTTCATATCTAGTTGATTCTGAAGAAGGTAGCTCCCTACTAGACAGGATATGCTCTGTAAATTCTAAGCTAGAGCTAGATACTGTAGACAGTAGACGTTAGCCTGAAAAATGGCAAATGGCTCCACGTTGCGATCTAAAGACATAGTAGAACCTAAACTATTATTAAGTAAAAAGTTCCTTTATTTATCCCTTAAGGTTCATTATTTGCCCGATATAAGTTGTAATTGCATACCAGCCTCCGATTTCCAACGTACACGTACAGGCCGTATTATCGTACACTATTTACTGGTCTTAGTAAGTATGATTACTAGAATTTGCACTCCTAGCATTGGTATATTATGTCTTGCAGCAGTATCCTAGTCCTCGTATTCTAAACTTAGGAAAACTTACACAGTTTTGGTGAATAGAGGCAGGATGCTTGAACCCCGGGCAAGCATTTATGTTTACTCGGAATAGAATAAATCCAGCCCCCCAACCCTAGTTGAGATCTAGGGAACACGAGCCCTGCGCTGACTTTAATCAGTGTCATTTCTAACCAATTACTATCACCCAGATACACTGCTAGTAAGTAGTTGTATAAATAGTAGTAGCAGTAGAAGCAATATCAGACTCGGCCTCCTTGGGCCTGTCTTCACCCCTGCTATGGGTGAGTGAGGGTAGATAGTACAGTAGTACCAGCGCAAAAGGCTACTGTCACCTAAGACTAGGTTAGGCGGTGTATTGGCTTGCATTTAATACAGCAGCGCACGCCGGACCCGTCTAGTCACTTCGGGACTCCGGGAGAAGGTGAAGAGTGCGGAGCCGCTAACTACGTCCTCTATCACCTTAAAACTAACCCCTGAGGCCGTCAACCTTCTGTACCTACCTGTTGATTCAGTTGGTGGACTTCATCGAAATCGATGGTCCAACACACACACTATGTACGCATACATGGTTTACCACGTCACCGGGGCGTAATCTCAAAAGACTCAGGTAGCTTTATTAGTGAAGCTGTGGTGCTTTTACGCTACTCTACCTGGCACTGATCATATTTTACTGGGCATTTTTCCTAGAAGGTGCAGACACCGAAAAACCTGCAGCCTCAACAGGCCATTTCTCCTAGTTTGTTCTTTCATGACCAGAGACGAAATCTTGAAACGGTACCTTTCATTTCTAATTGGTTTTCAGAAACGAAGTAGCACAAGGCTATCGCTTACCTCAACCCTCCTATCCATTTCGAAAGATTTTAATTCACGCAACCGTTACTTTGATTACCTTTGCGGATAGGACCCCCAATTTTACTTCTAGTAAATGTGCTGAGCTTCATATCTGCCGTTATTAGATGCGACATACACCCCTGAAAAAGTCTTCTGCGCTTTTGCTATATTTGTGTACAATTGTATTGCTCATCCCTACTGAAATAGCATTTTTACTTTTCTCTCCTTCCTTAACCGGATACTGTTCGGGACTCCGCATTTGTCTTCTAATGGTTTGATCTTTTTCCACTTTTACTTTATTCCTCTCTCTCTCTTACCTAGCTGCTGCCGATGACGGAGCGTGGAGGAGAGTCTGCCAGCGTCTTACCCTACCGGATTGTGCTGAAGCTCCTATCCTAAAGAAGCACTTTTCCGAAGAGGCTGTCTCTAACGAGTGGCAGAATCTGGCCGAATCTTTTATGAAATTTTCAGCCCTTGATTGTGTAAGGTGTTGTTCTTTATATCGTGTCCTCCTTGCGGATGAATAATGTTTTTGTGCGCTTGTATACATGTCGTGTTTTGGCTGTATTGAAAATGCAAAAAGACGCCCGAGGTAAAAAAACAACGGACATCTTTTTCCTCCCGCATAGACTCGCCGTCTCTACCTACAAAGATTGCTGCAATGGGCACCAGTTACTTTCGGCTCCTTCCTCTCGAATTGCCTGAGTCGGGATCTCTCCGGCGATTATCTCTCAGTAACTGGAGACGAAGTTGCAATCATGCTCACAGAGCCGGGAATGTTGTACAACAAGGAACTTTTGAATAGGTTCGTTCTTGTCGAATATTATAGCATTCTTTAGTAATGACCACTCGTCTTTCCTACAATTTTTAAACAGTTTGCTTATCCGTTGTAACTTTTGATGCGCATGTATTCATGCATCGCTGCATTACCACAAACAGTAACTGGCCTATCTCATGAAATGTTTACTGACATATGTTTTTGCGTAGAACAGTTTGCTTACGTAGGGATTGTAATATTCTTTATCGTGCAACAATTTATCAATACATTTTACACAAGCAAGGATGACGACCTGAACCATCTTTTTATTTCTCAACGTTTTTCTGCTTGCCAACAGCAATTCTGATACTTACTTGTATTACCAATTGACAAGCCGCTTTGTACGAAAGAAAAATCAGAACTCAGTTGGTTGATTTACAGGCGCCTAAATGCATTTACTTGATTGAGGGATTGATTGTACAGTTTGCTGTATCTAAAGTTGTTTGAAGATCCTATCTTCGTGGAACTGGATGCTTCTTGTGCGTTGGTTTACTTCATTCTATCCTTATCAGATTTCTTTCTTCAAGTGGCCGTAACGGCGCGAAAATCTCCTTAATTGCATCGGAAGGGTTTCATGTATATTTGCGAGACCATGCCTTTTCATAAGATATTATATTGTAAATCATTAGATTAATAGGCAGAAGCAGTGCTTTTCGGACTGCTGAGATATCAAAATGCAGTTTTGTGTGTGAACTGGCGTAATTGAAAGCCCAGGAAAATGAGCATGGGAATGGAGAGTGAAATCGAAAGCTCAGCGCATTTCTTTCCTCCCTACAAACGGAAGCGTTTAAAGTTATCGCAGAGTTCGCTAAAAGCCGTGGCTAGGAAAGTTGCTAACTGACAGGATAACGCGGACTGCATGTATTCTTGCACAGCTCCATTAACACTGATCTATTTCATGAAATCTTAACTGAAATTCTGATATGCATTTTCGCGCAGAAAAGTTTACTTACCTGGGGATTGTAATATTCATTATCGTGCAACAAACTATCAAGCTATTTCAGTCAAACCACCTCATTTCATTTCTTAACGTTCTCCTGTTGGTCGACGGCAATTCTGACACTTGTTTGTATTACCAGTTGACTAGTCGCTTTGTGCGAAAGCAAAATCAGGCCTTACTTGTTTGTTTTGGGGCTGCCTAAATGCAGTCACTTGGTTGACTGGTTGATGGTGCAGTTTGTTGTAACCGAAAATTGTTCAGAGATTCCAGCTTTATGGAACTCGATGTTTCTCGTGCGTTTACTTACTTCATTTCATCTTTATCAGGCTTCATTCTTAAGGCGGTCATAACGGAGCGAAAATGTCCTTGATTGCAGTTAAACAGTTTCATTTATTCGGTAGAAGGAGTTCTTTGGGAAACAGTGGTTTATTGTGCAAATTTTCGACGCTAGCACACCGGGTCGTCGTCAGACGGATGGAAATTGTACAAAACAGTTTCATTTATCGTGAAACCATGCTTTTGCGGAAGATATTGCCTTATGTTGTAAATTATTAGATATATAGGCAGAAGCAGTGCTTTTTAAGATCTCAAAATGCAGTTTTGTGTGTGAACTGGCTTAACTGAAAGCCCAGGGAAATGAGTATGGGAATGGAGAGTGAGATCGAAAGCTCAGCGCATTTCTTTCCTCCCTGTAAACTGAAAGGTTTGAAGCTATCACAGTGTGCGCTGAAAGCCGTGGCTAGGAAGGTTGCCAACTGACAGGATAACGCGGACTGTATGGTCAACTGAGCGTGTGTTTGTATGGAGTGAATGACTGACTGCCGAACCAAGAGAGTCAGGCTGCAACAGCTGCTTCTTCATTTAGCCTTTATGCTGCTCCCACTCAGTGGGATCTGAGCCAGGTGAGATGATGATACGTCTAGGGGCTGCTCAAGTCCCGCCAGCCACCTGTGCCCTCTCCAACCTCCGTTCTTTTTAACTTGGTGGGGGAGGGAGAGAGTGCGGCAGCTCCCGCGCAGGTCCTATCTTACTCTAGTCTAAATCACCCTCATGTTGCGCCCCTGTGTGTGTGTGTGTCGTAGCCCATTGTTGGATCAGGAGTCCCCGCCGGAA